TATAACTAGAACTATATACTTATTAGTTAGATGATTTTCAATGATTTGATCCCATTTTTAATTAGTTTTAAAACTTCTATGATTTTTTTTTATCATCCCTTTGTAAATTATAATTAGGCATTAATTATATGTGTTCATTTTCCATTTTTTCAAGTAAATAGATTTGGCGGATAATTTTTTGACCTCAGTAAAATAAATTTTCTACCTCTGCTACTGTTTATATGATTGTTGTTACACACTAAAACTTTATATATATACAAACATAGTATTTATAAAATGTATTAAAAAAATTAATCATACTTAAATACAACTAATTATGTTTATAAAAAAATTATATCCGCACATGCATATGTGGATACACCATCTAATATATATTATAAACACTGAGTTTTGTTATTATTAAGGGTATATCAAATGATTCTAATTTCCATCAGATGCTATATATATCATAATGCCTATAAGGATTTGTATATAGAAAAATGATTTTTTTTTTTTGACAAAGATATCGAAAGCTGATTGTTTTTTTAAAAAAAATTGCTAACTAGAAAGATGAATTTCATGCACAAGTTAAGCATACTAACTCTATTAGGAACCCAGCTAATCCAATTGAAAATTTTGATCTTTGCTGAAGACTTTAGGGACTCATATTATATGATGGCCTTTTTTTTTGAACATTATATCATGACATTTTGATCAATGATGTTTCACTATTTGGCACGACACTTATAAGATAATCAGAGCCCGGAATGTACATTGTTATGATGCAAATGAATGATGTTCAATTATAAGGGAACCCACCTTTAAAAACTCTAATAGTTATATAAATAGTATAATTTTATAGAGAAAAGGTAAATATTAGAATATTAGATATAAAAATTACACTAAATACTTATATTTTTAATTACTCCTCAAAAATAATTATTTTAGATATATTATTATATATTTTGAGTATATCCTGCAATAATTAAATAATATAATAACAACAATTCAGAAAAAAAAACAAGATAAATTTTACTCCCATAATAATATATACTACAATAATTAAAATACTAAATTACTGTTTTATTTTATTTAGTACCTCGAAAATCTCAGAAATAGTCCTGAAACCACACAAAATAAATGTAATTAACTAACTCCAATATTTCTTCTAATTTAAAATTATACATATATCAATACCATGATAATTTCAAAACTTATACGTGGCAATGTACAATTATTGAATTTATGAGTACAAAATAAAGCTTGGTACAATAGTGACCTCAGCTTTGACATGGATCTGACTCAGACGAACACGTTTATATTCAACCTTTCTTGTCTTCAAGTTACCTGTCAGTTTCAAAGAAAAAAAAACTTCCGTTTCTCTTCAAAATATTGTTATAAAGACAACTAGACAAGGTTGAATATAATAACTAACTGAGTGCTTCTAAACCAAAGGCAAAAAAAAAAACTCATTTGCGTGATTAGACAAATATAATAATATACTCTCATGGTAGTCATGCACCCAACAATGGACAGATTGATAAAACCACTATCATTGGATGAAATTATACTTACCTATTCGTTGCACAAAATATTAAATTTTAAAGTACACTTAGTTGATAATAACTAGTTATATTTATCATGTTTGGGCTGTAGTATAGGATAAACGAGTCCCATATTAGAGATCCAATCGAAGAACTGGATCACGCGTTGGTTCAAACGTGATAAATGCTAATGGACTAAATATTTAGTCGAATGCCATGATTCGTGGATCTTTATCAAGAAAAAAAATTGTAACTGAAGTCGTGTAACTGTCAACAAGCATTAATGACCCGAAGGTAACAGAAAAAGGCTGGAAACTTGTTTAGCCAATGTGACCACCCACGAGGAGTTGGAAGTGTGGTGGTGTGTAAAGTGGCGATGAACAGTTAAAGACCAACGATAATCCAAGTGGTTGTCGATGGTGTTTTTGCGGTCCATCAGAAATTATATGTCACATTGTGTAATGTTGGAATCTGTTACAATGTGCATGATGAAAAATGCGTATTTTCATTTTATTTTGGGGTTGTTGTATCACAATGTTCATAATAAAATGGCATACTGAGTGATGGACCCATAATAAGCATGTTATACTGTAATAATAGTATATATAAGAGTAAGAACCGTTGATAATGAAAAAATAAATGTCATTTCTGTCATGGTTACATAGTTATAAACTTAATGAATGATAGTATTTTTGGAATGATTCAGACTTACTAAAGATACATTTCAGTGAATAATCAGTTAATCACAACTCTCTTTTAATTTATTATGTTTCTTTAGATCTAAAAATAAAATAAAAAATGTGTTAAAAACTCCATATTTTAGATCTAAGAACCTATAGAATCAATTCTAAAGATATTTAATAATAATTAAATACTTAAGAATTCAGATATCGGATTGTTCATTGTGGATGCTCTACCTACTGGAGAGGAGCAGATGATATGTTGTGTCATCTTTTATTTTATGGTTAGAAAACTTTGTTTTTTAATGTTTGAGTGCTCCCATGTGGTTTCATTGTATTCACCTACTTTAATATTATCAATCTTATACATAATTTTTTTCTTTAAAAATAGTATAGTCATGAATGGCCTGGATGGCACCTTATTGGCTATTATTGGACAATTTCAATTTTAAATACATCAAATCAACAGTTTAAAGGCAGAAATTTAAAACCATTGTAGCAACGGAAGGAAGGTACTGACTGACACAACAACGGGATGTACTCTTATTTTGCAAAATCAAAGAAAACACAAACCACATATGTATAACTCTAGAATTTCAAACCAGAACCTTGGAGTTTCTCTGGGATGATCATGTCTATCTTGTTCTCCATTTCGGGAGTAAGATGGTTCTTCCAGTCACCAACTTCCCCTTTACGGAAATAATCTTTGTAATCCAAATTGTTTCTTTTCCCAGTTTTGTTAACCTCCAAACCGCTTAAGTTACGCAGAGAGCAAAGGTCTAAGATCTTTTGCACCAATCCATTCTCCTCTTCTTCCTTAGTAAAAGGACAACCCAAGAAATCCGCAAGTCTCTTGATCTGATCACGAGGCTCAGCTTTCAACTCCTCATATCTCATGAAAAGAACATGCTTGGGGTCTTCTAAGCTTCCTCTCCAGTAGCTCAAGAGATGGTCCCAAAAAGGTCCATAATAGATAGTTCCGTTGCAGAACGATTTGAACATAGACTCCAGAATGCTTCTATCTGGTTCTATTTTATGAACAGCGCACCCGAAAAACCACCACGAGACCAATGTGTCCTTCACGTTTCTGCACACGTACACAATCTTGCATGGAGAGTCCTTGAGGGTCTCTTGCATAGCGTCCAGTGGCATGTGAGTCGAGAACAGCCTCGGAACTGATGAGAACTTGGCCAGGTCAGGACTTGAACTCTCGACATAAAGATTGCTCTCCAAGAATGGTACGATTCCATGAGGATTATCAGATAGTAGAGGATGTTGATCATCAGAAGAATAGTTCTTTGATCTCTCGAGGAGGGCAACTGTGAGGGCCTTGAGCCAAGTAGTGCCTGATTTGGGGTAAGAAGCAAGGATTATATCGGTGTCTTGCGGTTGAAAACCTCTCTGGAAATTAAGAACGCCTTGGAGAGCGTTGTAGTAATACCAACATCCTTGATACTTACAGATCTTCTGCCCTTGTGAATCTGTGTGTGAAGGAAGCGAAGAGATCAAACTCTTGGTTTCTTCGGTTATCTTGTCGTCTCTTACGCCGGAAGGAAGCTCTTTCCGATCCATTTGTTTTGTTTGTTCTTATTAGTTGTTACAAAAAGATGTGCTTAACATTAACATTATAGATACTTGAGCCAAGATATCAAGAAAAACAAGTATCGGTGGTAGTAAAGACAAAACCTATTTAAATTTGCTGACCTTAATCGCTGGTAAGAAAATATATTTAAATATGGATGGGTTAGTTGGTGTATCATCGTAGAATGGATCCATTGAATCTTATTTAGTGCATTACAGCTAATAACTATTTGAAATTCCACATGGAATCCCACATGATACATCAGTTTTATATTTAATCTATGATTTCAAAATCTCAACAATTTGTTATTAGATGTACTGAAATAACGATTTTAAAATCACAATAACTTGATATTAGCTGTAGTGTAATATAGAATAGTTTATATTCTTATGCAAAACAGTTTAAATTAAAACCCTAGATTCGAAATTTTACACCCTAAACTCTTATTACTGAAATCGAAAAACTAGAATAAAACATAGGTTACACTTGGTTCCATAACAGAAGAGAAGAGTTTAGCCTGTCTTGGTGAAATAAAACACAGTTATTAACTTTTTTTTACTAAAACAGTTCTAAACTCAAGTTACATTAGTTTTAGGGATAATTTTTAAATGACACATGGTTATTTCTAAAATGACTCGGATCCACTAAAGTATTTTTAATATATCGTTAATTTGCCAATAATTTGTATTTAGTTTATCAATAGTCTACATTCAATCGTAAGACCAATCAGTCACCTAGTAATCTGCATTCAATCTGTCATTAGACTGTAAATAAAAAGATTTAGAAGAGTAATACTAATATTTAAAAAATCCATAAAATAAAGACTGTTTTCATAATTTTTCCTCAATCAAGTATTCGTTTCATATTATTTTTTATTCTGAATTATTTTAAATGATTTCCTCTTAATTTTAACTATACAAAAAATTTTATATGGTTATAGTCTTTCACATTTAGTAAATTAACTTTTCGTTTAAACTACAGTAACATTATATATGTTATAAATGATTTTAGTTGTACTTTTAAATATAAATTATTCTTGCATGGCTCGGATAGCACCTAATTGGCTATTATTGGACAATATCAACTTTAAACCTATCAAAGCAACAATTGAAAGGCATTGTAAACGAATATTACAACGAAACATATGCTGTTGAAAAATCAACGGAAGATACTCTTATTTGGAACAGCAAAGAAAACACAAATCATATACCAACTCTAGAATTTTAAACCAGAACATTGGAGTTTCTCTTGGATGATCATGTCTATCTTGTTCTCCATTTCAGGAGTAAGATAGTTCTTCCAGTCACCAACTTCCCCTTTACGGAAAAAATTCTTGTGATCCACGTCGTTTACTTTCCCAGTTTTGTTAACCTCCATACCGCTTAAATTACGCAGAGAGCAAAGATCTGAGATCTTTTCCACCGATCCGTTCTCTTCTTCTTCCTTAGTAAAAGGACAACCCAAGAAATCTGCAAGTCTCTTGATCTGATCACAAGGCTCAGCTTTTATCTCCTCATACCTCATGAAAAGGACATGCTTGGGGTCTTCCAAGCTTCCTTTCCAATAACTCAGAACATGTTCCCAGAAGGGTCCATAGTAGATAGCTCCGCTACAGAAAGATTTGTATATAGACTCGAGAATACTTGTCTTTGGTTCTACTTTAAGCATAGCGCACACGAAAAACCACCACGAGATCAACGTGTCCTTCACGTCCCTACAAATGTATACAATCTTGCAAGGAGAGTCCTTGAGGGTCGGCTTCATTGTGTGTAGTGGCATGTGAGTGGAGAACAACCTCGGAAATGATGAGAACTTGCTTAGGTCAGGACTTGAGCTTTCGTGAAACACATCGATCTCGAAGAATGGTACAATGCCATGAGGATTATCAGACAGAAGAATATGTTCGTCATCAGAAGAGTGCTTCTTAGATCTCTCGAGGAGGGAAACTGTGAGGGCTTTGAGCCAAGTAGTGCCTGATTTGGGGAAAGAAGCAAGGATTATGTCGGTGTCTTGCGGTTGAAATCCTCTCTGGAAATTAAGAACACCTTGGAGAGTGTTGTAGTAATACCAACATCCTTGATAATTACAAAGCTTCTTTCCTTCGCCATCTGCGTCTGAAGGAAGCGAAGAGATCAAAATCTTGGTTTCGTCGGTTATCTTGTCGCCTCTTGCGTTCGAAGGACGCTCATTATCCATTTGTTTTGCCAAGTTCTTGTTACCAAAAGATACGAGACCAAGACCATAATAAATATAGGCCAAGAAGCCAAAAAAAAAAAAACACTATATATAGCTGGTAATAAAAAGAAACATAATCAAATTGCTCTGTTAACAAAAAATAATTTATATATGGATGGTTTAGTTAAATTAATAGGTGTATTCCCGTAAAGTGGATTCCATTGGTTCCTTTTAAGTGCATAACAGCTAATAAAAATTTGATGTCCCACATGATACATGAGTTTATAATCTTTGGTTATAAATCTAAACAATTTGGTGTTAGATGTAATGCAGTAACGATTTAAAAATTGCTTATATCGAATACTTGCATTCCGTCATGGAGATAATGTGATTTTGTCTCATATTGCTTAAGATTTCAGTAGCGTGCTTGAACGTGCAATAACGTGTTATTTGTATAAAAACTATGCAAGTTCATTCTTAGCCACTTGAAATTTGTTAACCATAAAAGATGTTGATAGTTATTTAATATTATTATTATTTTTTGCTAAAATTTGATGGTTATTTATCTAATGAAAGTAAACAACAAAAGTTTTTAACTACCTTTTCAAAATTAAATTAAATTTTGGCCCACTTTGAACTTGATTGAAAATTGTAACCAGTTTTGACCCTAATAAAATCTAATTCATTGTTTCAGATCATATTTTATAGTTTGATTCGGTCTGATAAATTTCGGTTTGATCGAACAACTCTAATTTTATCACTAACAAAACAAGTTTTAAGGCACAGAAAAACGTGGATGAAAGAACTTTCCATTTAAAAAAAGTTCAAAAAAAAAAAAATTGAATGAAACATTTCTGGTACAAAAACTTAATCTTCCAAGTTCCACCATTATAAACTCGAAATACAGATCTTTTATCATTAAAAGATTTGAGTGAATGCTATGTAGTCTTTGATTTTAAATCGCATAATTAGGTGTATTAGTATGGATTTTAAAATCTAAATAATTTATTATTAGATGTATTAGTATCTTGACAAAATAGTTGAAATCATAAAATAATATAGTTTAAATATAAATTATAAATCCCAGAGAGGGGAATCTTGACAAAAATAGTTGAAATCATAAAATAATATAGTTTAAATATAAATTATAAATCCTAAACTTTCACTACTGAACGGAAATATTGAAAACAAAACAGTCTACAGTGCCAAAAGCAAATTAATTCAGTGGAAAGAAGAAGATTAATAAACTCCGATTGGTAACACATATTTTATGTTGTAGAATTGCAGAATGACGAAAAAAATGAATTACGGAATAATTTATTGCAGAATTATGGAATTTTTTTTAATACAATTGAATAAATTATGGTGGAATTGCAGAATTACAGAATATACTTATTGAAAATAAAATATTAATAATTCATTCAATTATTATAAAATAATATAATTCTAATTTTAACTTTTTAATAATTTGTTTTTCAAAATAAAAAAATATTGCAAATTTTAAATAATAGATATAACTTCATCATTAAATAATTTTTTATAACACTAAATTATTTATTTGTATTTATTTAAATAATAAAATATAATTAGTTATATAATTGAATAATATAAACATTGATTCCGCAAATAATCTACTCCAAACACGCTTTTCCGTTTAATGAAGATTTCTTTGTATTTTCTGTAAGCAATTCTGCAAATCTTGCGTTTTTGCGTTTTTCCGCAGGTTTTTTTTTATTGGCAAAATTCTTACGTTTTTTTGTCTTTCCACCATTCCACCAATACACCTTATGCCGTCAAAAAAATAAATACATAAAGACACCTTATTATTTGTTTAAATTATAGGATATTAGGTGATCGGTCTGCACTGTGTGCAGACTATAAAACATTTTATATGTTTAATTATGGTTAATATAGTATTAAAGATGTTTTCTTTTTATATGATTAATAATATATTAATAATAAATTAATAAAAATTTGATAATAAAAAATAACGATAAATTAAATATAAAATATTATATATTTTAATATAAAGTGAAGATAAAAAAATATTAACTGAGATTGAAAATATTTATTTGGATAAAAAATATAAATATGATAACTAAATAAGTGGGATAACATTTAAATATATAATAATTTATTCAATTTTTATTTTTTGGTCTGTACGCATGTGCAAATATAATTTTTTATAAACATAATGAGTTGTAATATTTAAGTATTGATTAATTTTCATACACATTATGTAAATGTTAGGTTTTTATACATATACAATTTTAGTGTTCAACAACAATCACATATACGTTTCATATCGTTTTGTATCTTTTTTAAAACTTTTTATTTTTCCTAGCATTTAGAGTAACATATAACTGCAAATGTGAAAGTTATATTAAATAATAATTAAATTCTTATAATATGTTTTGAATATTATCTATATAATAAATTCCTTTTCTCTTTACATAATATAATCTTGCCAATATATATATTTTAAGTATTTTTCAAACCTTATGTTTTTACACGATGCAGTTATTGGCATTTAACAACAATCATGAAAAATGTTTCTATCATTTTTTATTTAATCAAAATTTCTTATTTTTTAGCGTTTGATGATATATGGTTTCTGAATAAAAATTTATTATAAAATTTTTGAAAGCATATTTTATAAAATTCTCCAGTAGCTCTCTGCACATCTCCTCGTCAAATTTTTTATAATCCGCAATTGCTCGCTTCCACAAACTCTATGTAACCGAATCTTTTAAACCAATCGAATCTAAACATATATGTGTATGATTTAAGGTGTAAAATAATATATTTAATATTTGATTGTTATTCAAAATTAAGAGTTGATCTGTTCCTAACTTTAATATATTTGTTACTATAAAATATAGTGGATCATAACATATACAAAACTTGAATCATAAAATATTATTTTAATATATTACAAAAATATATGCATTAAAGAATTAATATGTGTATGATAATATTTTTAAATATTTCAAATAATGATAATATTTTTAAATATTTCAAATAAAAACTTAAAATCGATCAAAATTATTCTTATTTATATTTTTATCATCTTTGACTCATATTTATTTTCTTAACATTTAATAATTGATTTTTAATAATCCAATGTATTTTTATAATTTTCCTCTAAAATATAAGTGGACTTATCTCCAACATATTTCTATTTTTACAGGAAAACAAAGATTTTTATTTTTTCCTCTATAATTAGAGAAAAAATTAACAACCTTTCTTTTTCCTCTAAATTAAAATAAAGGTGAGTTGAAGATACTTTAAACAAAAAATATAGGCTGCAATTTTTACATAAAACCAAAATCGTAAAGATTAATTTTTACTTTTAAATCTACTTTTTATTAATATATATACAGTATTATAATAAAAGTTAGCTAACATGATACGTATAATTTATTTTTCTATATGTTTAATTTTGTTTTATTTATAATTCTAATTCTTGCTATATAATCAGAATTCATTCATACATGATATATACTTTCTTACTTAAAAATGATATTTATTTAGTTTTAACTTAACCAATCAAAATATTTTATTTATTTTAGGAAAATTTCCATGTCACATTTATGAAGTGACATTGTTTTGCACTAACTTTTGTTAAGGTGATGACACATCAGATTTTTTCATTAAACATGCTTCTCAAAATTAAAACTATTAAAAGAAGATCATTCTTGATAAATGTTCAATTCATATCATAGTATTTATAAGTCATGCCATTGCATTTATTAGAGAATTTCATGATTTCATTAAGGGTAATAAAGACAATTGTATTACAAGCATAATTTTGATAATATAATAAAAGAAAAACATAAATTTAAATAAACCTTAATAAGATCTTAGATATCTCTTAATAATAAGAAAAAAACAAAAAGTGTTTATAAAAACTCAAAATACCTAAATAATCATGATGATCATGATTGATTATGCACATAAATATACTTTGATCAAAATTTATTCGTATGCACATAAATATCATGAATCATGATGATCATGATTGACTATGCACATAAATATACTTTGATCAAAATTCATTCGTATGCACATAAATATTCAATATTATTTAGTTTTCATTTAATTACATTAACATCCGGATTATCTATACTATTAAAAGAGAATCATTTTTAATAAATGTTTCAATATGTCATTACATTTACTAGATAATTTCATTAATTTATTAAAAGTAATTTAGTCATATCATTAAACTACTAAAATGTATTAAATTAAATTAAATTATATTAGTTTGTTAACAGACAATACCAATAAATTATATTTGATATTAATAAAATTCAAATTAATTTAATTTCGAAATTATTTCAAAATCTTTCAAATTATCTTAACGTAATTACCACAAATATATATGACATGAATAATTAATATAATTATATATTATATCATAAATTAATATATATTATATTATAATTAATTTTTCCTCTATACAATTAAAAGAAAATTACAACTTTATGTCTAAAAGCTAATATGATATTTATTAAATATGACAATTAATATTCAATGATGAATATGTAATTATTATTTTTTGGTTATATATATACATACTAAAAAAACTTATGTAAATATTTATTTTTCTGGTTTGTTAATGATTTTTTTGCCAGAAATCATGGGTTTGCCGATTTGACAAACACAAATTAGTAGATTTTACGGGTTTTACAAGTTTTAGTGGGTTTTATAAGTTTTAGCAGAAAATAAATTTTAACGAGAAAATGCCGGTTTGACAAAGAAATGTGCTTTTGTAGATTTAGCAGAAACACATGATTTTAGAAATTTGGTCATAAATCTTGATTTTGTAGATTTTACGGGGTTTACAGGAAAACACGGGTTTATGGAATGCGAATAACGCAATTTTGTAGATTTTATGCATTTTACAGGTTTTAGCAGAAAAATATAGTCACACGAAAAAATGCGGGTTTGTGAGTTTGTGGGTTTGAAAACTCGATTTTGCAGGTTTAGCAGAAACACGTGAGTTTAGAAATTTGGTCGTAAAACATGATTTTACGGATTTTATAATTTTTTTAAAAAAATAGGTTTATGGATTTGGCGAGAAACATGATTTTACGGATTTAATGAGGTTTACATGTTTTGACAGGGTTTATATATGGTTTTGATAGAAAATACAGGTTTACGGGTTTGATGAGAAACGTAATTTTGCAGGTTTGGCAAAAATACGTAATTTTAGAAAGTTGACCTTAGAATACGGTTTTATGGTGTTGGAAAAAACATAAATTTTGGTTTTGTTAAAATATGTGGGTTTACAGTTTTTGAAAAAAAATACGGTTCGATGGAAAATGCTACTTTTACCGTTTCTACAAGAATTTTTGATTTTGGTACAACAACATGATTTTAGTAACTTTTGATTTTGTTAAAAATGTGGGTTTACAGTTTTGGCAGGAAAATATTGTTTGATGGAAAATGCTATTTTTACAGTTTGTATGGAAATTCCCGATTTTGGTACAATAACGTGGTTTTAGTATTTTGGGGGTGAAAATGCGGCTTTTTATTTCGATAGAAAACTCTGATTTTATGGTTTTGACAAAGAAAAAATTTGATTTTATGGTTTAAATTAAAAAATATTTTGGTCTTTTAATTTTTGAGATTCAAATGCTGCAACCAAACTTTATTTTTTTTTTAGCATCTTAATATTCAATTTTTGAGATATTGTAGATTATGTATCTAGATATTTAAAAAGAACAATATTGGAACATTTACATCCAAATAAGTATTTGGATGCAAAAACAAACAAAACCTAAGTAAATATTGAAATCTTAATTACAAACAAATAAAATCTCTCTTGCATTATAAAACATAATATTTTGAAAATATTTGTTACAAAATTTAACCAAAAATTCTCTAATCAAAATATTTTTCTTTTAGAAAATCAAACCTAAATAATTTTAAGAACATAAAATCATAATATAAAAATAGTTTATATAATCTAAAAAAATTTCTATTTGGGCCACAATTTTGGATTTAATAATATAAGTTAATATTTTGAATAAAAATTTAATATAAACTGATTTTTAGTGTGGTTTAAAAATATTTTATGAAAAGAAACCTGCGCAAGTGCGTAGGTCCACAATCTAGTATTAGTTAAGATAGAAGGCATATATAATCAGCAACAAACTTAGATAAAACATAGTTTGATTTTTGGTTTTTAGTGGTCATTTATAAGGAGAAAACAAATTTATAGCATATTAAATTAAACAATATTTGTAAAGTAGGCTTTCTAAATCTATACTATAATAGATGGCTAACTCTCTCCATATGAGTGACACCTTGTCATTTTAGTTTATAAAAATTTAATGATACAAATTATATAAAATTTAATACATAAATTTAATGTATTATTAATCATAATACTAAAAAATATGAAAATATAAAGTATTAGATAATATATTTTAATAACAATAATATACTTAATATCAAAACAATTATTGAATATCTAATTTGTGGTAGATTTTTGAAATCATTAAAAAAATTATGTTTCTTATTTAAGAGTGTTTATTATTTTTAATTAATATTACAAGTTATTCTTATAAAAACAATTATACAAATATAAAATAACAATTATTTGATATTTTGAACCTAAAAAGGTTAGAAAACAAATGTATACAATATTATAATAAATTTAAAAATAATTTCTTTATAAACTAATAACTATTTGATAATTTATTTTATTCAAACTTGATCCATTAATAATTTTTAAATTAATAAGATATCAAAGTCCTAATATATTTATTTATAAAATATTTAATGTAGCTGTATAAATTAGAATTATAAAATAATTATTTAAACTAATAAAAATATAAAACGACGATGTTGCTATTGTGTAAATCTGCGCTGTGAACAAATACGACCTATTAAAAAGAGTCATCTCTATCTATGTTGTGCTTGAAGAGTTTCTTTAATTAATTTTTGTTATATAATACTTCTCTGAATTATAGTATATCTATTGAATATATTCTATATATACAAGATATAACATATTTTATATTTTCTTATCAATATACTATTTATCACATATATATTTCTGAGAATATTCACCGATGGTTTTCACTTGTGAAAATCTGGTTCATGAATTTTGGTAACTTAATTGAAAATTGGTTTGGTGTTAACCAAGCATGAGTTTTAGAGTTGGATAATGGGCTAAGTCTTACGTGTGGGGCTTGTGGATTTGTTGAAAAGCCCAATTCACCTTATTGTGGAGCGCGACTTTATAATGGCAGCCTATTTGGCAGACCAAGTGATTTTAATTTGGTGGAAGAAAAGCAGCAGCCATTAACACCCGAGTTGGTTACTTCAACTTCAAGACACCCATCAACAATTAACCGAATTTGTTACTTCTTCGCCATAACCACGTGACTTGGGATTGCACAAATTTTTGGAGGTAAGTCTCACTTATTTTGAACTTTATGAATCCTCAACGAATCAAATTAACATGTGTGTTTCTGCTCTTGCAGCATCATAATGTCACAATCTGACGGGATCCGCTCAGCTACAAATTCATATAAAGGGTCAACAAATTAGATTCGATCGAGGACACATACCACCTGAACTGCCCTTTGTATAAAAAACTACTACCACCTGAATTTGACGTAAGAGAGAGAGAGTACCAATAGGTATCACCAACATGATCTTTCTTGTAGCACAAGTAAATGTATTAATGCTATTCTTTCGATTTTGTGTACACTTCTTTATCATATCGTACTATTGGAGTATCATCAGAATTCCTTTCGTGCTTAAAAATTGCATCATCCAACTTCACGTTGTCACAATTGCCTTCGTCACAATAAAATGCAAAACAAAGTGTATTATAATGACATATTGATTTACCTTGACAATAAGATCAAAAATCTTATTGGATCTTCTTTTTTAAAAGCCTGATTCGTAAACTTCATATTTGGAGTACGACTTTTTTTGATGAAATTTTCCTCTCGCTGGTGTAGGTTTGTCTGATCTGTGATGTTGCTCTCGACGTACCAGAGGAACCCCAAACAAATCATGAATCGATTTACCACTAGCAACGCAACTCTGGCCAATCATTGATCGGTTCACAGCTGCTATGATCCGCTGTTACAAGAAAGATAAAACTGCCCACTGCCATGATAACTTTTTTTGTGAAAGATAAAAATCTGAACTGGAACGTGTTTGCTCTAATACCAAACTGGCACAGTGTCAAGCTAGATAAGCTCGAAGAACATTGGTTCTCAAGAAGTAGCCGTTCCACGAGGATTTGATGATCGTTGATTCCCAATGGTCATTGAGGATTCTTGATAATGGTTGATTTTCAAAGAATCAGATAACAAGAAAATATGAATTGAAAAGTTCTAGAGTTTCTTTCACTAATTAAAAGCTGCCTTAACTTTACATCATCTGAATGCTTAAATAGTAAAGAAGAAACTGAAACCCTAAGCTAATGTTGGTGGCAAAGATTGATAAACATTAGCAAGCCTAATTAAAAGTAAAGCTCACATAAAACTAAAAGAACTTGTATATGTTAGGGAACGGAATGCATAAGAGGAGAAGATGCGCTGCATTAACGGCCCTGCCTCCAAAGCTGCCGTCTCGAAGTCTTGTGTTATCTTCCAAATTTTTTCATCAGTTTATGTGACCTACACGTGCGTTTGATCCAGAATTTATGATTGTTCATTTTTCACTTCATTGTATACGTTGTTAATAAGGCTTCATTTTGTTAATAAGAATAAAAACTGAAGATGATAGCCAGAGAGCTTGTTGACTTTAACGGCAATAACCGTCTTAGTTAGAGAGAGTCCATTCTTGTAAATCACAATGCTTATCATAACTAGAGTTGAATTAAATCCGAACCAAATCCTTAACCGAATAAGATAAAAAGAAATGAGAAAATAGTACAACTTTAATTTACAAAGAAAAATCCAACTAACCGTACACTTTTTTCATTTCTGAGGTTGGGTACAAAATAATTTTTTAAAAAGCGAATATTAAAAGTGATAAACCAAAACTCTTTAAGAAACTCAAAACAGTTTCAAGAGAGATAAATAAATCAAATAAATAAATATGAAAGTTGAAAGAGAAGAAAATAAACAGAAACACAAAATACAGCAAAAAAAAAAAATTTGAGTACAAAAAATGATAAACGGCTACTTATTACCCCTTTTAAAACAGAGTATACAGTCCCATGTAAAACAAAAAATTGTGATTAAACATTTAGAGTATGATTACAGATTAAAAATTTAGAGTTTAGGGTTTGTATTTCAAAGAATTCGTGATTACTAAAACAGTGGTAATATAGTCGCCAATTTGCGATTGCTTGGTGACTGCTAATTGACGATTATGTTTTAGTCACAAAACAGTCGTAGATTTGCGAGCGAGTGGTTTTTAACGATAACTGTTTGGTCGTAAATTAATAGTAAAATCGTCACAATTCAGTTGCAAATTTATGACTATATTACGACTATTTATATAAATAAGCGACTGGGTTTGCGATAATATGATTTGATTGCAAATTAATAGTAAAATCGTCGCAGTAGCTATATTTTGCGAATTTGCTGTTTTCTTGTAGTGTCTTATGTTTTTTAGGAAAGCTCTCACATATCCTATTGGAGAGCAGCAGAGGATATGTTATCGTGTCTGAGTGTCTTTGTTGTGTCATCTTTTATTTTATGATTAGAAAAGTTTGTTTTTAATGTCTGAGTGCTCTCATATGTTTTCTCTGTATTCAGCTACTTCAATATTATACATCTTATAAATTATTTTTTTTCTGTAAATATATTATAGTCATGCATGGCTCGGATAGGCGTTTATTTGACAATTTTAATTTTAAATTAAAGCAACAACTTAAAGGCAGGCGTTTCAAACGAATATAACAACGGAAGGAAGGTACTGCTGTAAAAGAAACACAACAACGGGAAGTACTCTTATTTTGCAACATCAAAGAAAACATAAACCGCATATGTATAACTCTAGAATTTCAAACCAGAACCTTTGAGTTTCTCTTTGATGATCATGTCTAGCTTGTTCTCTATTTCGGGAGTAAGATGGTTCTTCCAGTCACCAACTTCCCCTTTACGGAAATAGTATTTGTGATCCAAATTGTTTCTTTTCCCAGTTTTGTTAACCTCCAAACCGCTTAAGTTACGCAGAGAGCAAAGGTCTAAGATCTTTTGCACCAATCCATTCTCCTCTTCTTCCTTAGTAAAAGGACAACCCAAGAAATCCGCAAGTCTCTTGATCTGATCACGAGGCTCAGCTTTCAACTCCTCATATCTCATGAAAAGAACATGCTTGGGGTCTTCTAAGCTTCCTCTCCAGTAGCTCAAGAGGTGGTCCCAAAAAGGTCCATAATAGATAGTTCCGTTGCAGAACGATTTGAACATAGACTCGAGAATGCTTCTATCTGGTTCTATTTTATGAATAGCGCACCTGAAAAACCACCACGAGACCAATGTGTCCTTCACGTTTCTGCACACGTACACAATCTTGCATGGAGAGTCCTTGAGGGTCTCTTGCATTGCGTGCAGTGGCATGTGAGTCGAGAACAGCCTCGGAACTGATGAGAACTTGGCAAGGACAGGACTTGAACTTTCGACATAAAGATTGATCTCCAAGAATGGTACGATTTCATGAGGATTATCAGATAGTAGGGGATGTTGATCATCAGAAGAATGGTTCTTTGATCTTTCGAGGAGGGCAACTGTGAGAGCCTTGAGCCATGTAGTGCCTGATTTGGGGTAAGAAGCAAGGATTATGTCGGTGTCTCGCGGTTGAAAACCTCTCTGGAAATTAAGAACGCCTTGGAGAGCGTTGTAGTAATACCAACATCCTTGATACTTACAGATCTTATGCCCTTGTGATTCTGTGTGTGAAGGAAGCGAAGAGATCAAGCTCTTGGTTTCTTCGGTTATCTTGTCGTCTCTTAAGCCGGAGGGAAGCTCTTTCCGATCCATTTGTTTTGTTTGTTCTTATTAGTTGTTACAAAAAGATGTGCTTAACAAAAACATTATAGATACTTGAGCCAAGAAATCAAGAAAAACAAGTATTGGTGGTAGTAAAGACAAAACCTATTTCAATTTGCTGACCTTTTAAAATTGTTGGTAAGAAAATATATTTTTAATATGGATGGGTTAGTTGGTGTATCATCGTAGAGTGGATCCATTGAATATTTTTTAGCGCATTACAGCTAATAACTATTTGAAATTCCACATGGAATCCCACTTGATACATCAGTTTTATATTTAAACTTTGATTTCAAAATCTCAATAATTTGTTATTAGATGTACTGAAATAACGATTTTAAAATCACAATAACTTGTTATTACCTGTAACTGGGGTTTTAACACGCATTACTAATAGTTTGGTTTAATTCTTTTTTTAGATATGACTTTTGAATTATCAAAACTATAATAGATATATAAAATTTCATTTTCTATATAAGAGAATTTAAAATACAACATGTAGTTTTCTTCAATTTTTTTGTTTATAAGAAATTAAGTCTTACTAAATAAAATAATAATAATGACACTTACCAAATTATCTAATTATAATATGTACACACATTTGATTTATAGAAACGTTTCCTTGCTAAGATATTGGATATCTCATTGATGTTGTGTACCTATGCACATAGATATAATTCATGATTCATGTTGATTCACATTTAGTTTTGTTAGAAACTGCAATGATCATACAAAGTCCGTTTCCAACTTCTCCATCATGCCTTCCATGAGTTTTATTTTTATATCTTTATTCAGTTTATCATTAAAAAATTTTTTTGACAGTCTAATTTGATAATTCTAGTTTTTAAACTTGTAGGATGGATGGTGTGCAGTCTTCATAATCTTTTTTATCTTCTGTGTGCTTTCTGCATATTTTGATTTGATAATTTTATCTAGATATATCAATTTGAGTTTGATTCTTAACTCTATCATATTTTATTATTTAAATACAAATTCAAAAGGTGTTACTCATATGTTATTAATGTTGGCTCAGATATAAGTAGTAGATATATATAAAAATCAGATTTTAATGCTTGTTAAATTTCGAATGTAAAGTCTGTAGTATTTTTGTTAGTTTTTAAGTCAGAAGCACCTACAGTATTAACTTCTTAATATTTAAAAAAATATTTTTGATTAAAAAAATTATGTAAACCTATTACAACTTTATATAGTTATTAATTGTATATCAATACTTTAAAAACCTTTTACTTTACATCTTTTGATAGTAATTTATATTTTATTTTAATTTATATAATTTTTTTGTATGTTTGATATACTTAGGATTTATATTTTTTTATGATTAAGCTTTTTGGTTGTTGATTCTGAAAATAGCTAGCATAGATATCAAGTTAATTTCTTTTCTTGAATGCTTTTTCTTTTTTAAAATTTGATTTTTTAATATTAGTTTTCATTTTAGTTATAATATTGATTTGACATACTATAACTGTTCATTTTAAATCTTATGTTGACTTCTCTCAAAATATTACTGCATCATTTGTTTTTGTTTTTGTTTTTGAATTTTTTTAATGTTAGTTTTCAAAAAATGTTAGCCTAAATATTAGGTTAGTTTTTTCATATGACTTTTTTCCGTTGTTAGTTTACTTTTCTTTTATTGATTCTTATTTAATTTTGAAACATAATTCTTCTGTAAATGTTGACATTTTTATAGACAATTTTCTTTTCTTTTTTTCTGTTAATGAGACTCTTTTATATTGAAAATTTTAAATAGTTACCATATATATCAAGTCAATTTTTTGGATGATTGTTTTAATATTTGTTTTTGCTTTTAATACCAATTTTAATTGTATTAACATTTTGTAAAGCATAATTGATATTTTAGTTTCTTTTGTTAATTTTTATATTAATTTCTTATATAGTTTGTTTAAAGCTTTATTTTTTATATTGATTTTTTTAATAGTTAGTTTAAAGCTAAATTTTTTAAAAATACTCATTTAAAGTATATATGTTAAAAAATTTCTTTTGTTAATTTAACTTTCTCTTATTTATTTTTTATGTTAATTTTTTAAAAATGTTAGCCTACCAAGTTAGTTTTTTATATGACTTTTTTCCTTTGTTAGTTTACTTTATTTATCTTTATTCTTATTTAATTTTGAAACATAATTTTTTTGTAAATATTAAAAAATTTTATAGTTAATTTTCTCTTTTTATGTTAATGAGACTCTTTTATATTGATTTTTATATAGTTAGCATATATATCAACTCAATTTATTTTCAATGATTGTTTAATATTTTTTTGATATTAATTTCAATATTAAATATATTATCATTTTATATAACATAATTTACATTTTATTTGTTTTTGTTCATTTTTAAATTACTTTCTTAAATAGTTCTTTTAAAGCTTTAGTTTTTTTATATTGATTTATTTAATAGTTAGTTTAAAGTTAAATTTAAATAAAATTTTCATTTAAAGTATATTTAAATTTCTTTTGTTAAATTAATTTTTTTGTTATAGATTTACATATTTGTTTTTTTTATTGGTTTAGGTTTTGTGACATTTAGTTTTGCATTTTAATTTGACAAACGCTATAAATTTGGATTTCTGACATAACTTCTTTTATCTGTTTTGTTAGTTAATCTTTTTTTTTATCTTTATTTTCTATTCTACCATGATATTTTTCTTTTTTGTATATTTTAAAAATGCTGATGTGAACCAATCAAATTGAGTTTCTTCGTCCTATGTGGACGTCCTGCAATGCAATATACCTTCAACTTTTATATATTACTAGGTATATAATTTGCGCTACACGCGAGTCTGTATTGATAATTTGGTTTAATTTTTTGTGTTTAGCTACTATTTTTTAAATTATTAAAACCATAATATATTTATAGAAATTTTTATTTAAATAAGAGAATTTAATAAATAATGTGTAATTTTCTCCTATTTTTATTTTTAAAATTTTAAAAATTATTAGTTAAAATAATAACAATGACACTTATCGAATTATCTAACTTTGACATACATATACATTTGATTTACAAAAATATTTGTTTGCAAAGATTTTGGTATTTTTATGTGTTCCATCAAATTTTTATAGTTTTTTTTCTTGAAAGTTTTACGTGTTTAAATATTTGGTTTTTATTTTTTGAAAGTCTAATTTATGTTGTGTACCATAGCATATATAATCTATAATTCATGTTGATTCACATTTTATTTTGTTATGAAACTGTAATGATCATGCAAAACGATTTTTTCCTTCTCCACCATGCCTTCCAAGAGTTATCGCTTATATTTTTTATTTAGTTTTCATTGAAATCTATTTTTCTACAGTCATATATTTGATAATTTTAGTTTTCCAACTTGTAGGATTGGTGGTGTAGAGTGTTTGCATTATTTTTTACTGTTTTTATCTTTTTTGTGCATTATGCATACTTTGATTTGAATATTTTATCTACATATAACAATATAAATTTGATTCATAACTATGCTATATTTTATTATTTAAATAGAATTTTAGAATGTGTTTTTGATGTTGGTTCAGATATAAGTAGAGTCTATGTATAGAAATCAGATTTTACTACTTGTTAGATATCGAGTGTAAAGTATTTATATAATTTTTTTCTTTGTTAGTTTTTAAATCAGGAACATCAAGTGTATTAATCATTGTATATTTAAAAATATATTTGGTTTAGAAACTCATGTAAACCTATTGCAACTGTAAATAGTTATTCATTATTGATACTAATATTTTAGTAATCAAGAAGGAACTTTTTGAAACTAATTTCAAATTAATTTTGTTTTTAATTTTTTTTTTATCTTTTGATAGTGTTTTTTATATATTGTTATTTATATATTTTTTTATATGTTTGATATACTTAAGTCTTATATTCTTTTTATTAAGCTCTGTTGTTGTTGATTTTCTATATAGATATCATAGACATCACATTAATTTCTTTTATACAAATACTTTTTCTTTGTTAAATTTGTTTCTATATTAATTTTAATTCTAATTATAATGCTGATTTGATATACTTTAACTGTTAAATTTAAATCATAGATGTATTTTTCTCCTAATAAAAAACTTTAGCCCAAGTTAGTTTTTTATATGGCTTTTTCTTTTGTTAATTTGCCTCTTTAGATAATGATTTCTATTTTATTTTGAAACATAAATTTATAACATGTTGAAAGCTAAAAAAATTTCAATAAAAACATGCTTAATTTTTTTTATCATATTATAATAGTTTTAAAACAGTTTCGTTTTATATCTAAAAACACAATAGGAAATTAAAACATGGTGAGATAATTCATGTGAGTGTACTTACCATGTCAAATAGTCAGTAGTTGATTCAATATTTTTGTCAGAAAAAACCGGGTGGAAGAAGTGGAGTACAAAAATAATACTTCTTCATGATGTAATTTAAATTATGGTGTTAAAAAGTTAAATAAATTTTAATATCTAATTTATTTCAGGATTCATCATATTTTCATAAAGAATAGTAAAACAATGGTAATTATATGTTTGAGATTACAAAACTTGAAATGTTTTTGGGTTCATAACTGTGGTCAGGAACACGACAGGTTTGACAATATATTTTATTATTTTTCTTTGAAAATCGGCGAAAGAGCAACATGACCAATTGGCCTACTGTTTAGAAATTTAAAAGGGTGCTAAGTAAACATAGATAGTATTCCAGATTAGAATATATAAATGAGTTGTTGGAAAAATATGCTTATCTTTTTAATTGCAAGTGAACATTTATTTTATTATGACTTCCACCATTGGTGATATCATTAGTTTAACTGAACAAAAAAAATCTTGTCGTTGATGATGATCAGTTTTCTAATAGCATATACATAATATATGACGTTATAATTATATATTTGTATATGTACAATGCATTATAAGTTATATATTTTATAATCTATGCTATACGTTTTAACTTTTATGATATTAGTGTTTTGGTTATGTTGACTTTTTCCGTTAAATTTT